GGCTGAAATTGAGGTTTGACCTAAAATTTTTACCTAAATCCGTCCATCATGAAATTTTACGTTTACAAAGCTTGGGCCCAACGGGTGTAACATGATAGATTCCATGACTCACGAGGAACTAGGCTCAGGAAGACTGAAAGGAGTCTTGTCAAGAAAAGTAAAAAAAAGGAAACGACAGCTTAAAAAGATTGAGGACATTATTGCAGCACGATGACTCCTTCCCATTGGATCCACGATTTTTCAATACTTTAATAATTGAGTTCGATTAGGTTCGATTGTCCAAGACGGATGTCGATAGAACTCAATTAGAAAGTAAATTTATTCGTAACTCGAACTCAAATGCTGAAAACACTATAAAATTGAGAAAAAAAAATAAAATTTTTATCTATTACTAATGTTGACAAACGTGAATTCGATAATTGATATTATTCATTTAATTGTTACGTTGTTAAATAGATACTTAAAGCTCGACCCTTGCCCAATTAAGTATTTTTTTGAATACTCAAACTCGATAAGTGTATACTTACGAGTTAACCAGAAAAATCTTGCAAGTTGCTTGACTCGTTTTCAATTGTATCTGTGACCTCTTTGCTTTGTATCTTCAGAAGATTATTATAAGATAAGCATGGACAGATGCAGCATGCATTTGATTTTAATTTCTTTGTGCTATAATGTTGTGCTATAATCTTGAGTTGAAATGAGAACAATGTAAAATGAGCAGAGCTGGACGATGGCAACCGCGTCTTCTATTGTTCTTGCATATGGGTATATTGTAACATATTTCATTACATAAATACGGAGTAAGGTCAATTTAATTACGCTATTGAGTTTCTTTCTTCCCTTCGGTGGAGTCTGCTTGGGGTGCCCCGAATCTTGTCTAAGCTAATCTATCACATTATTCACGTTCGAGAGAGTGACCGATATTTCGATAAAATGTTTCTTTTATCTATTTATATCCATACCATCTACTTTTTAAATCCACAGGCTACCCATTAGCTAAAAAGATAAAAAAAAAAAAAAGAAAAAAAGAAAAATGACCTATTAGTCTTATAGAATTGAGGGAGTTTGGTCTTTAACGGCCAAAGTTTGGGCCCATCACGTGAAACATCACGTGAATCCATGACTCACGAGGAGGAGCTAGGCCCACAAATACTGCAAAAGTAAGTCAAGAACCAATAGGTTGATAATAGAGAAAAAGGTGAGGATAACTTAAAATAATTGAGGACATTATAGCACGATAACTCTTTCCAATTGGATACGTGATTGTCACCTCCTTTAATAATTGAGTTCAGTCAAATTATTAAATTGAATAGCTTTGAACTAACAATAACATAATTAGACCATTTGAAGGGGTGGAATTCAAAAGTTAAAAGGACTATATGATCAAGGCCCTCCACGTGATTAAGACAAATTGATTGGAAAAAAGTAACTTGGGGCCAAAAGAAAGATAAAGACTGATGTTGATTTTGTTGTTCATGAGTGTTTGAGGGGGTTAAAACTGGTTTACCAAAAACAGAGAGGAGACCCAAATTCATGAGTCGCACTACTTTCGGAATATAAATTTCTTGCTAGGAATTTCGTAAAAAAAACATAAATTACTTTGGGAAGACAGATCTCCATTGAGCCAGAAGACGAGAGGCTTGCGAGGAGCATCTGCTTGTTCTTCAAGGAACCAGTAGAAGAAAAGGTGAATTATACGCGAATTTACGCATCAATATCTATAAATTGTGAAATTCTGAACGTTTCGGGTTAAGAAAAGGTGAAAGTGTGTCCAACCCGAAATATATATGAAGTAAAGAGCAAAACATAAATGTCTATTCAAGTGGCTTTAATTAAACTACATGATCCTCAGGACATTATAGTTGTACGTAGATTTAAACCGAAGTGGTTGATTAAGGGATTCCGATTGGTGCTTTGTAGTTTTTGGAAACGTGAGTACGAATGAAACATACTTTTTTACATTTGTTTTGTCCATGAAAAGAATCGACATAGTTGCTGCAAATAATAGAGAAGAAACTGATATCAAAGTTTGCATTTTTTCCTTAATCCTGGCTTTTCTGCACCACAAGGCCGAAATCAGGAATTCCCACGCTTTTTTTTAATTTTTGTCTGAAATGGTCTGAACACAATTTCCTAATTTCCCAAATCAAATCCTAATCCCCAAATTCTCTAAGCTATAACCCTAATCCCCGCATTCTCCCAATTGCCATATTGAACTAAACTGGTCCAATCAAGTTTTGGTGGTTCAGCGCCATGCCTTTCACTTTCCCCATAGTCGTCGTCCCCGACCGGTACAGAATCGCCGCCTTGTCCGGTTGTGAGACATTGATTCAGTCGGAAATGCCGGTTTGAGTCACTGCTGTCGTTAGGGACTCGAACTCCGGCGAGTCAACGATAACCGTTTCGAGCGGGGAACAGAGAGGCCAAAGACCAGACTCGGCAACAACTTCTCCTTTTCTTTTTTTTTTTTTGTTCAAATGATGACTGGCGATTGAGTCTCATCGTTGGGTACTATTTACTGTTTGAAAAAGGAAAAGATATTTATTATTTTTGCAATGTATCGTCAATCTCAAAAATAGAATAAAATTGTTCACAACAGGCCCCAATTGCGGGAAAACGCTGTCCAGCTATAAAAGGCATTGGCCTCGACCGAGGAGCTTCAAGAACGATGATGTTCCATCATCTATAAGTGTGTCATCAGTCTTGTTAACATTACGTAGACCTGAACCATCTCCCACCTCCCACCTCCCAAAAACCTTCCATCCCTCCCTCCCCTCCCCCCCAAAATCATGGTTTCTTCCTTACTACTATCCAACCCGTCTCCTCTACGAGTCTTATGCTTCTTCTTCTCGCTCTTCTTGGTCTTGGTCGACACCACTTCATTTCATGGGGCAGGCGTTTGTGCTTCCTCCACTTCTTTTTCTACTATCCACGCGACCGAGAGTAAGGATGGAGCAGAGGCTCTCCTGAATTGGAAATCCACTCTCGACAACCATAGCCAGTCTCTCCTCTCTTCATGGCACGGCGAAAATCCTTGCGACTTTATGGGTGTCACTTGCAACGACTTCGGAGTCATCATCCATCTAAATCTTTCCTCTCTTGGTTTGAGAGGAACTCTAGACAACCTTGACTTCTCGTGCTTAACCAATTTGGTTAGCTTTGAACTTGGCAACAACTCGATCTATGGCTCCATCCCCTCGAGTATCGGTAACCTTTCCAAACTCAACTCTCTTGGTCTTTGCTTCAATGAACTGTCTGGGAACATTCCTCCAAGCATAGGTATGCTGGAGAGTCTTCATTTTTTGCGTCTATGTGTAAACAACCTGAGTGGACACATCCCTCAAGAAATAGGGAAGATGATATCTTTGGAACGGTTAATTTTGTCTGAAAATGGCTTGGCCGGACCAATCCCTACATCTCTTGGAAAATTGGGCAACTTAACCAGATTACGCATTTCAAAAAATATTCTTTTTGGTTCCATTCCACAAGAAATATGCGACTTGAGGAGCTTGAAGTATCTTAGCTTGCGGCGAAATAGATTGTCAGGACCCATTCCCTCATAAATAGGGAAGCTCACTTCTCTTACAATTTTACGAGTATCTTTTAATAATTTGACCGGTCCAATCCCTGCATCAGTTGGAAGCCTGTCCAATTTGACTGTATTACAACTTGATGACAACAAACTATTTGGCTTCTTGCCTTTTGAACTTAATAAGTTAACACGTTTGACTAATTTGGGTCTATCTAATAATGAGCTCGAGGGGGAACTGCCGGAAGATGTGTGCCGTGGGAGATCACTGCAATATTTCGCTGCCTTCAATAATCATTTCACGGGTCCCACCCCAGCAAGCTTAGAGAACTGTAGCACATTGATCAGATTGAGGCTAGAAGGAAATCAACTTACCGGAAACATAACAGAAGCTTTTGGAGTATATCAACATCTATATTTTATTGACTTAAGCCACAATCATTTGAACGGCGAACTTTCGTGGAAATGGGAGCATTGTCGTAATTTGACAAGCTTAAGGATATCAAACAACAACATTTCTGGTGAGATACCCGCAATATTTGGAAGGATGGCTAAGCTACAAGAAGTGAACCTTTCTTCAAATAATTTAAGCGGAGAGATTCCAAGCGAATTGGGAAGCCTGTCAATGCTGTTTAAACTTGATTTAAGCAGCAACTCAATTATGGGAAAGGTACCGACTGAGATTGGACTTTTATCTCATCTAGCACATCTGAACTTGGCATCAAACAATTTGAGTGGATCGATACCACTACAGCTAGGCTCATGCAAAAGCTTGTTGAGCTTGAACTTGAGCAGAAACAAATTGTGGAGAAGCATTCCTCCTGAGATAGGCCACGCACAATTCCTTGAGATTGTTGACTTGAGTCATAATTTGTTGATTGGAAACATACCGGAAGTACTTGGACAGTTGAGAATGCTGCAAGTTCTAAATATCTCCCATAATAGCCTTTCCGGTTCTATTCCAAATACTTTTGGTGATATGTTAGCCTTAACTTCTGTAGATTTATCCTACAATAACCTGGAAGGTCCTCTCCCAAATGTAAAAGCTTTCAATGAGGCTCCATTTGAGGCAATTCAGCATAACAAAGGGCTCTGTGGAAATATTGATGGCTTACCGAAATGCAATTCTATCGGGAGCAAGAAACGCAATCGATACGTTGGAGCTAGAACCACAATAATCCTCATTCTCTCGTTCTTGGGGTTTCTCCTTCTCTCTTGCACCTTGATCATTCTTGTAATTGTCAATCATCGTCGAAGAGGGATTATCAAGAGAGACAATGATGAGCAGGCAAATGAATTGGATTTTTTTCGAATTTTGAGTTATGATGGCAAAGTTTTCTATGACCGAATCGTCAAGGCCACGGAAGGATTTGACTCCAAGTACTATGTGGGTGAAGGAGCATATGGAATCGTTTATAAAGCCGAGATATCGAAGGTCAAACGATTCTTTGTGAAGCAAATCTCTTCATCCCAGGAAGATAGTGAGATTGTTGATTTGATACCATTTGAAAGGGAAATTCAAGCCTTAACAAACTTACGCCATCGCAACATCGTGAAATTTTATGGATTCTGCTCTCATGTCCAACGGTGTTTTTTGGTGTATGAGTACATGGAAAGAGGAAGCTTGAGAACAACTTTGAACGAGGATGAAAGAGCAAAAGAATTTCAGTGGGACAAGAGGGTAAATGTGGTCCGAGGAGTTGCGGATGCATTGTCCTATATGCATCACGAATGTTCACCTCCATTAATTCATCGAGACTTGACCAGTAATAACATTCTATTGGATCGCGATTATGAGGCTCATGTTTCTGATTTTGGCACTGCAAGGCTATTGAGGCCAGATTCATCAAATTGGACTAATATTGCTGGCACCATTGGGTATATTGCTCCAGGTACTTCGTCATTTGTTGAATTTTGATGGGCATTTAGTTTTGGATATCCATTCTATAATCGAACTACCACTAGGTTCTTTAGTTATTTAATCTTCTTATGGAAATTAGTTTACTAATTTAGAGCTTTCAAGTTCAAAGTTGATCAGAAAGCTTCAACGATTTCCCCGATAAGGAAGAGTTGGCAAAAATGCGGAAAAACATCATAAGCGATCCATTTCAAGTATATTAAGTTTGTTTGACCTAAATGATGCTTGTACTTTAAGCATCAAACAAAATCAATTTTGTAAGTTTAGACTAAATAGAAATTTGTACTTGTAATCATCACGTTTTGGGAAGCAATGTTGTCAACATGAATACAGCTTGTGATCGAGCTTTTAAAAAAATATATGATTTCTCCACTTGCAGAGCTGGCTTATTCTACAATTCCTACCGAAAAATGCGATGTGTATAGTTTTGGAATCGTTGCATTAGAGACAATCATGGGAAAGCATCCAGGAGATTATGTCTTTCGGGAATGTTCATTGTTTACCCAAACTGAGTCGCCGATGCTGTTGATGGATGTGTTGGATCAACGTCTCTCACCTTCTAGACTTCAGCTTCAAGAGGCACAAGACGTGGTCTCGATCTCCAAGCTAGCATTTGCGTGCTTGCAAACCGATCCGCGGCTTCGACCGACCATGGCACAAGTCTCGTGTGAGCTTCGCGTTCAAGTACCCCTGGAAATACCACTCTCTGCAGTCAACTTAGAGCAACTTCGCGATCTTAGTGTAAGGAAATTTGGAGCATTCGCAGTAGATGGTGAGTTTTGAATTTACTTTCCACCTGTTAGTTTGTTTGGTTCGAAATAATGATGACCATTGCCTTTTAAATATCTTCTTAGTTCTCAATCATCCCAACCATGTGATTTATGATTTTCACTGCAAAGCCAGCTTCTCCTTGAACGTTACAGAAAAAGTGCGATGTTTATTGTTTAGAGTCGTGGCACCATAAATAATAATGGGAAAGCTTCTGGAGAGATCTTATTTCACAATTATTTAGAATTTTTTCAGAGCAATTAGGAAGTAAATTTGCAAAATGCATTGGATCGACATCTATTGCCCTAGATGTAAAGCCCATGTAGTTTTTGCTTCTGGAAGAGATAATGATACTAGTTATCTGTGAAATTTTATCAAAGTGCAATATGTGAACTTTTAGTTTATTCAATTGAATCACTTTTGACTATATGAGCATTACCATCTCGGAACTTTCAGTTGTTTCAATTTCATACTACAATTAGATCTAACTAATTTCCATATTCAAAAAGCATAAGTTGTACATTCAAACTTATGGAGCCGTTAAACAAGTAAAACTGGACAGATTTTATAATTTCTTATACAGAATCCATTCTCACTTCATTAAGCGTCAAATTTTGGTGTCTTTGAACCATTCTAAATTGACGTTTACTTCAAGCCCATTTCATTATGATAATTGGGTAATGAGAAGATTAACCTGACTGTGTATCTTTACCATTTAAATTGTTGTCAAACCTGTCAAAAGCTGGAGCTGGTTTCAGCATCATCCCTCTTCGGCTCCGCACTCATTATCGCCACCATTGCCTCTACATGTTCGCTTCGTGAAGGTGCCTAAATTTTTCGTAACTCCTCGTTGTTGGACATGTGGGATTCTGCGCATCTCTCTTTCCCGTCTCAATGATTGTCTGCTGGTAGACTTTAAGCTAAGAAATTTCACTTACTCCCGAAATTTGAAAATCTGGACAGCAACAAAAGCAATTAAGTTCAACAAAATCAAGAACTCTCGCTCTTCTTGAGACCTCTACCACCAAGTTACTACACAAAGACACATCATTTTGCGACAGAATCGATGAAGAAATTTCCAAGGTCAGCACCCAAAATCACGGATGCAGCAATTCAGCGATTCTCCCCTCTAACCTGATCCAAATTTGGTTTCACTTTTCCTTCCTTGTTTTCTCTAACGGCCGTATAAGGGGGAAGAGGACGACTTGATGGATTGCCGCTTGTCACTTTTCTCCACTAATTTTTCGTGCCATATAGATTGGCTGGCCACTTTAACTTGGATTTAAAAACAATTTGCAGTTTCTTTCTTTAGGACTCTAATTGCTACAATTATTGTTACTTTGGGCCCGCAAGTTGTAAAATACCCGGGCCGCTTATGCAATTTCCAAACGAGTTTATTTAGGTCCTACGTAGATGAAAAATCAATTTCTATCTCATTCGTGCACTTATCATCACAACCACATAAGACCTCGATTAAGCATCGACGTGCCATTCGGTGTTAAATTTTCGGATATTACACTTGCATTGTATATAGACAGAAAACAGCCCATCTATATCTATACCAAAAACGTGAAGGGCCCTAGCATCTCTCAGTCAAACACGGATACTTGTTTACGAAACAAAAATGTCTATATCAGCGCCGACCGTGCCACATACGACGGTTGGCATCCACGTTAGCGATTTTCAGTCAAAATTAGCCGGATGAACTCAATTGGCTAAACGTAAAAAAAGTTTAGGACTCAAGTGGCATAATTAAAAGGCTTGAGATTGAATTAGCACAAATGCAATGGATTTAAAACTTTTTTGATAATTCTCCTAGTGAATATGTGCGTGGGACTCCAAAATAGGTTTTGAGGCTTACAGTGTCATCTGCTGAATCTTTATGGGAAATTACACGAGTCTACCTTTCACGTTTTTCTTTTCTTTTAAATATTGTAAGAGCAAGAATTGAGCAAGAAGAAAATCACAAGCCATGGTTGGGTAGAGATAAGGTGTGGCCCCTTCTCCGCACTTGATGGAGAATAAAGCCATTAACTATCTTTTTTTGTCTTTTGAGGTTTCTTTTTCGAGCTACTTTTTGCTTCTTTACCCTTTGCCACACAGACCGATAAATCAGAAAATAACTAACCGTTACTTTTTTACTTGCCCCGTGAACGCGCATCGAGGGAAGTAATTAAAACATTACTTCAAATACTTAAAGAAAAAATAAAAAGAAATATCCTGTGTGAAACAATTGAATAGAAATTACAAGTAATTGTCGAGATGACCCTTCTATGGGTTTTTTGTTTAAGAACCAAAAAACTTACAATTGGATTTAGATTACTCAAGAAATAGAATTCCTTAAAAGATATGGAATTTGATTACCTAGGCTCGTCTAATATTAACATTTTTTTTTGGTCGAACGTCTAGTATTAAGATTCAACAGCCACCAATTATAGTGAAATTTATCAAAGGGCCACTCAATTTCCACATACACTTTGGCTGGATACACAGCCTAATATCGTCAATTGAGGGAAATACCGCTTCACAAGCTATCAATTTTTGCAAACTCAGCTTCATCTTCGAGTCCCTTTACCACCTCCCATCTTGCGCTCTCTGGCATCAACTCTTTGAGAAAAAGAACACATCCCATTTCATTTTTCGGAAATGGTTTGTGTCTATTCAAATGCTTTCATTACTGTCAAATTGAAGAGTTCTTGAAAAAGCCAATGGATCAATGAGTGAAAGAAAGAACGATCTCACGAGGGAGAAGGGCAGTTTAGAAATTTAAGCACTATACTGTTAAGAGGCTCGATCCCCGGTCATTGCACTTGTGAAACTAGCACAACCCTTTCGCAAATTATAAACACAAATCTAGAAATATTTTAGCAAATTAAAAGAAAATAAGCAAAACCGGAAGCAAAACATACCCATACAGAACAGGACGTCCCCTGCAGTGGACCAATGGCAGACCAACACCGTTAACGACGGAGCCGAGCCCCATCGCCTCAGCCATGGAGTCTGCCGGCTTTGCGCGGCCACAGATTTGAGGTTGTGCAAGGAGCACAACCTCTGCCGGAGCAATGTGTCCACGGGTCTGTCTTCGTCGCTCCAAAAATCGAGTGAATCGACGGAGCAAAGCTTTGAGACCGTGGCCACGGAGGTGGCCGGCCCTCACTTTACCCCAAATCGCGACTTCAACATAGGTCCCGAGCTCAGTGCAGTGAGAAAAAGAGATGAAGCCGTAGCAGACACTCGAATAGGCAAGCAAATTTTTCAAAGTTAACGTCGGTGCTGGAGTTAATGTCGCCAACGGATTGACGTACGAAGAAGGCTCATGACGATGATGGGTGGGCGACAGCTCGACAATAACGAGCGGCGGTTGGGGCGCGCTCAGCGGCCTGGTCAAGCGTAGGGTGGAGACCAAGAATAGAAAGATTAAAAAGAGAAGGGAAAGAAGAAACAAAAAAAAAAAGAACAAAGGAGAAATCATCTTAACGTCAAGTCTTCCATGTATAATTTTGAACTTGCGCCAGCTGAAATATCGACCCTCAAATCCACCTTCTCTACAAATTTGCTTGACATATAGGTCAAGCATCACGGCGCATGCTGAACAGATAGAAAAATGTAAAGATTTTATCTTGCAATATATCGTCAATGAGAAGGCCCCATTTGCCGGAAAACGATGTACTGCTGTAAAAGGCATTGACCTTGATTGAGGCATCAGGAATGATCTTCCATCTGTAAGTATATCGCCAATCTTGTTAATAATATGTAGACCTAAACAATATCACCTCCCAAAAACCAACCATCCCCCAAATCATGGTTTCTTCCTTATTGTTGTCCAACCGGTCTTCTTCAGGTGTCTTCTTGTTCTTCACACTCTTCTTGGTCGGAAATTAGTTTACTAATTTAGAGCTTTCAAGTTCTATGTTGATCGGAAAGTCTTCTGATATCCCTAATAAGGAAGAATTGGCTAATGACGAAAAACATCATAATTGATCCATTTCAAGGATATTAAGTTCGCATTACCTAAATGACGCTGGTTTTTGAAGCGTCAAACAAAATCCTTTGAAATTTGCCAAAGCATATACTCCCATGCTCAAATCAGTTTTGTCAGTGTAAATTAAGTAGAAATTCGTACTTGTAATCATCATGTAATGGGAAGCAATGTTGTCAACTTGAATATAGCTTGTGATTGAGGTTATAAAAAAATAGGATTTTTCAACTTGCAGAGCTTGCTTATTCTACAATTCCTACCGAAAAGTGCGACGTGTATAGCTTTGGAGTCGTCGCATTAGAGACAATCATGGGAAAGCATCCAGGAGATCATGTGTCTTGGGAATGTTCATCGTCTTCCCAAATTGAGTCACCGATGCTGTTGAAGGATGTGTTGGATCAACGTCTCTCGCCTTCTAGACTTCGTCTTTAAGATGCGCAAGACGTGGTCTCAATTGCCAAGCTAGCATTTGCGTGCTTGCAAGCCGATCCGCGGCTTTGACCGACCATGGGACGAGTCTTGCGTGAGCTTCGCATTCAAGTACCTTTGGAAATGCCACTCTCTGCGGTTAGCTTAGAGCAACTTTGCGATCTCAGTGTCAGGAAATTTGGAGCATTTTTAAGAGATGGTAAGTTTTGAATTTACTTTTCATGTGTTATTTTATTTGGTTCATAATAATGATGACGATGGTATTTTGAATATCTTCTTAGTTCTCACTCATCCCAACCATGTGATTTATGATTTTCACTGCAGAGCAAGCTTCTATTCGAACGTTATAGGAATAGTGTGATCTTTATTGTTTGGAGTAGTGGAACTAGAAATAATTATGGGAATGCTTCTCGGGAGATCTCATCTCACAATTATTTCGAAAATTTTGTAGAGCAATCAAGAAGTGAATTTGCAAATGCATTGGGTCGACATCTATTGCCTTCTTTTAATCGAAATGTAAAGAACTTGTAGTTTTTGCTTCTGGAAGAAATAATGATACTAGTTGTTTGTGAATTTTTATGAAAATGCAGTATGATACTTGAACTTTTAATTAGTTCACTTAAATCACTTTTGACTAATATGCAATGCTATCCCAGAATTTTTAATTGGTTCAGTTCCTTACGATAATTGGATCTACCTAATTTCCAGATTCAATAAACATAAGTTGATCATTCATACTTATGGAGCCATCAAACGTCAAATTAGAATCTTTGAGCCATTCTAAATTGAGGTTTACTT